CTAACGCATTGGCGTTAACGCGCTAATGCGATACGTACTTTATGTCGACGGCGAACTGCGGGGGACGAGGACGCGGGACACACATACACAGGGTGGTGTGGGGGTGCGCGGCAGGAGGAGGATTCGCTCGTACGCGACTAACAATATAACGCGATTTTGACGACGCGATATACGTCGTGTCATTGCCTTCTCTCTCTCCCTCTCTCTCTCTCTCTCTCTCTCTCTCTCTCTCTCTCTCTCTCTCTCTCTCTCTCTCTCTCTCGTTCACGGCCGCTTATCGGAATCGAAGGTGCGATCGAGAAATGCATTATCCGAATCGCAGAGATACGCGGAGATTCCTCGGTAGGCGCGTGAAGCACGCGTTCTACGTGCGGCGCTTCAGACAGGCCTCGACTTGGCGCGAAAGGTCACGAAAAACAGCCAGAAAAGTGTTTGCTTCTCCGATTCTCTAAGAGAAAGTAGGTTCCAATGTAAATTTGTGTAAATTAATAATCCGTTTCCCCTTCACTGTATTATTGATGAGTTATTAATATGCAAATTATTTTGTTATTCAGCATTAGATATTAATTTATTTGTTATAAGGTATTCATTTAATTGCTTTTCAACGACAAATCCACGCGCCGCGAAAAAAAAAAAAAGAAACTTGTCTGTTTCCAAGCTGCTAGTTTAGAGTTGAGAAATTCTCGCAAATATTCATCCGATCTTCATTTAACTGCCTTAACAAGCGCGTTGTTTCACAAGGCACGATTCATAATAACATCCCCGGGGGCCGCACACTTAAATACAGCGCTAAACAGAGGCGAGAATAGAGCGGCCAAAGAATTCTAAACTAATCAGCCGCCGATCCTTTCTCGCGTACGCGCCGCGGTTCTTAATGGTACGCACACATACGCGCGTGCACGCCACGCACACGGCGCGAGTCCAGCGGACGTGCACTTTGTCATGCAATTATCCCGAGGAGTATACGGCCGTGCGCCGTTGTGCGGTGAATGTTAATCTCTATTTACCGGCGACGGGACGCGAGAACGCGCGTCGCGTCGTCGTGGCGCGAGATAAACGTCGATAAGTTACGACACGAGATTCCCCCGGCGGCGGTGCATCCCCCTTCGCGCGCACCTTGCACTTGCGAAAAGGTCAGTTGCGAGCCGAGAGAGCGCGGGAGCGCATCCTGCCTGAGAGGCAGGAGGCGGGAGGAGGAGAGAGAAGAAGGCCTTAATAGCGCGCGAGATGCGCGTCTAATGGCGCTCGCGCGCGGCCGCGCGCATCACGTACATCCTTGGACTTTGTCGTTATTAATTACCTAACCGGCGGAGCGAGGAGCGAAGATAATGCGGTTGTGCAACAGGTACCAACGCCGCACCTGCGCCTCCTCCTCTGCCGCCTCCTCCTCCAACCGTTCGCCGCACCGTTGCATAATCGCGAGTAAGAAGCGCGCACGTGAAGTCCTACGCGAAAAGAAATCGATCCTCCCTTTATTCCTCCCCTCGCGATACAACCGACGCCAACGCGGAAGCGCAACAGTACTGTCGCGTGCGCGCGATTAGACTTAATTAATGTGCCGTTTTCGTCAACAATTAGCCCGCACGAAAAAAAAGTCCCTCCGAGAAAGAAACTGATTAAGCATATTGAATCCAGCGTAAATTAATTAAAATTGTTTCATAAATTGCAATAGAGTAATTGAGCAAATGAGGCAATAATTTTCCAATGACGATATTACAGTTATTACAAAATCATTAAAAAGAGAAGTGTATTCATTTAACGCAGAAAATTGTTCCAAAATAAAAACTGTTAATTTCATCATCGGAAAATCATCGCGTTTGTTCCATTTACGCGAGGGTTTCAATTACCCCATTTTCAGTTTCGGGAAAGAATTCATTGTTCCAATGCAATCTGCTGATGCGGTTACATTCATAGGAAATCGAGTAAAATTGGAAAAAGTATTGGGAGTACGTGACGATGGAAGTGAGCTCTTCAAGTAGAATTGCGCGAGAAACGAAAAATATTTCTCCAAAATTTTCGTCTTCATCGACGAATAGAGCGGAAGTGGAGTTATTAATTTAATTACACCTAATAAATATGTCATGTAATATTTTTCATAATTCCAACGTTAAATGGGTATCAAGTAATAGGCTGAAACATTCAAACAAGCTTTGGTCGGACAGCGAAATTTTGCATTTTGCAGATTAAAAATGGTCCATTGAAGTATACATTGTCCTCATAGTCATAATAACGAAATTAATTTTGTCGCATATAATATGGATACATGCAATTTCTCGTCGAGGGTGCCTTTTTAGGAAGCTTTTGGAGCTAAATTAAACATTATGCATATGGCAGGTATTCAAACTATATTTCCATAATATACGCTACATTTCGTTATACATTTTTTTTTTTTTCAATTTGTAATTATAATCAAGCGCAAGCTCCATCAAGAAACATTTCGGCACTCCGTAAACTCTTGGTCATTAAAGTCACCTCGTCAAATTCAAGCCATCAACATAATTTGCCATTAGTTTTCATTATATTCCGCGCACATGCATAGTTAATTGCGCCACAATCTGCTTCAATTAACAGTACACAGGTTTACAAGCGATTCCGATTTCCCGCGCCCCTTTTATCGCGCGCGTTAAACGAAGAAAAACGTCGATAAAGCGAGTGTTTTTCTTTGAAGTCTCGACTTAGCTTTGACAATCGGTCGAAAGCGAAATTAATTACATCGACAACGACGCGTGACGCGAACGGTATGTCTCTCCGGGCGTTTTTCCTCGTCTAAAAAACTCTCGGCGGAAACTCAAGGATGCGGGAGAGACAATAATTTTGCCGTTTCGCAGTGCGGAAATAAGTTGGAAATAAGCCTCAGTAATAATTTCGAGGAGACGGACGCGGGGCGGAGAGAAGGGTCGAGAAGTTTTCAAAGGAGAACAAACGCAGCAACGTCGGCGAAAGCGACTTAAGAACACCCGTTCGCTTTTGTATCACTAGCGTGGCTAATTAAATTAACGCTGAATTAATTGTGTCCGCTATAACGCTGAATTAATGCTTCACACAAACGTGTTTACGATATATATGTATATTCGAATAATATTTCTCAGATGATATTATAATAATAGGATGTAGCAGACACAAAATGCACCTTGAAGATTCTAACGAGTCGTTTGTTTTATTTTACAGATCGGTATCAATCCTGGACTATTCGCGGCTTACAAGGGGCATCACTACGCTGGACCTGGGAATCATTTCTGTAAGTTTTATTCTTTCCATATTTTATTCTTCTAATATTCCTTCGTCGATCAAAAGTCACATTAAATCAAAATAACGATCTTAATTAGCAAAATAGATATTGAGTTAATTATTCATTATTACGACTAAATTATCTGCTTTTCAATTCGTATCTTGAACAAAAGCAGCACAATTATGACAATAAATAGGAAGAAAAAAAGAGAGAAAGTGTTTCTTAATAAAAGCGATAAGCTGTGAAGTCATAATAATAAGTGAGAAACGAGCAAAGGAAGAGTCTCGTAGTCGCTGACTGAGTACAACTACTCGGGCATGAATTCGCAATTCGAGTTCCGAACATCCGTATAAACGAGCGCCAATGTGTCCGACAATCGTGGCACTAACGAACCCACACCATTACCATAGTCTTGCAAGCGAGCCTCGCCTTTGCGTCTCGAAGTTTCCGCATAAAATTGCATAACGTTATACTCCGAGCACCGGGAAAATCGAGTGCGCTTTGCGCGCGCGCCTCGTCTTAGGTGCACTTCGAGGAGAGTAATTATCAAGTCAACGAGAAAATCAGAGTCAGTGTAAAAAAAAAAGGTGAAAGAAGGAGGAGAATGCCAGAAGCGATTATCGCTTAGACCCTGAACTTACAAAAGGTGCAAACAACGGGAAACCGGAGGGTTCACGCACTGCGTATAAAACATAGAATGCGACATATAGATTTAGTAGTAGTCAATTTTCACGTTTTTAATGCATAATCGGAACTTGGACAAATATAACCAGAGGTTGGTAAATAATCTGAAGCGCCCTTCGCGAGCGCGATAAAATCACACGAATCCGGGGAAAGACCGGCGGGAGTTTTGCGACCCCCATGACGCGTTCGAGCCCTCATCTCGCGCTTTTTTCTGCATCGGGAAACACCGGGATCTGAAATCGCGAAAGCCTGCATCGATGAGCACGCAGTAAACGCTGCTGCAACGCGCATAAATCACCCACGGCACGGGCGTAAAAACTACAGCATTATACAGTTATAATATACAGTGCATGCGCCGTACGTACGCCGTGTGTTTATTTTACCGACGTGCTTGCAACGTCGATTAATATATTTTAATATGATTTATATGCGACACAACGGACATAATAAAAATCTTCATCAATTTCATGCAAAAGCGCGGGAAAAGTGTGTCGAAATAATTGGGTCCTTTGTGTCACGCATCCCGTGTGACTTGACAATTTTTCTATTAAAAATAGAAAACTATTAATCAGTCAAAAATTCATAAAATATAATTCAACAGTGAAATGTGTAAAACATGTTTGAGCATGCGATGTAACACGAAATTTATAAAATACACGGGACACAAATAGCAAAATGCAAAATTTCAAGCATGTTTAAATGAAATAAAAGCAATCCGATAGTTGGCCCGTTAATCAAAAGGGCTAATTGTTCCGCTGGAAATTTCTGTTTAAACAAAATCGGTTTCCCTGCCTTTCTTGGATTCGTGCGCAGCTTGATCAGGCGATGAATAACAATCACTCCGGCTATCTTCGATGCAACTGCCGAAGCGCACGCACGCACGACAAGCACGCGCGTATTAATGCGCCCCCATGCACGGCGTATCGCTGCCGGGGCCCCCGATTTACGTGTACCTGCACGAGTCCGCGCGCTTATCAGCGCGGTGGGCGCGCTGTACGCATACAACATGCTTAATGTAACGTAGCGTAATATATAATATAAACGCGCGGCTACCTGCAGGTTTACGCGCCCGATTATTGCACTGCCATAATAGCCGGAGGCGTTTGCTTTCGGCCGAGCGTACCGCGATCAAATATTTGCCCGTGCCAACGTAATGACAATATAAGATATCGGGGAACGTAAGTAAATTCAGGTGCGGTACTATTAATTATACATTGTTAATAACAATACACTGTTAATAATAAGCGCGACAATTGCGACCGTTAATATTTGATTTGTGCGGGCACAAATAAACGGAGACACACTGTCCAAATAGAGATAGATGCATTATATAATTGCAGTTGTGCGGCGCGACCCTTATAATCCGGATGTACCGAAAGCCGAACTGTGTCAAGAGTACACGCGCGTTAACTTCTTCGTCTTTTAATGGAATTATCAATTAAATCGCCCCTTAATCCTCTCATCTTCGTCCGCTGCGGCGAAAAAATTCCAAAAGTTTTCTCCCCGATCTCCCAGATTTTCATCCATATTTCACGGCTGTTTTGACTTTTTTTTATAGCTTTTTGCTATTTTTACCAATCACTCCCCGGGTTTTCTCTGACTTGCAACAACTCTGATAACCCCGCGAATTAAACGGACCTTTACGCGAGCGGAAACTGCAATTTTCACGCGCATTCACATCCGTTTCTTATGCACGCAATTTCCGATGCGTGCAGACTGACACGGCGCACGCGCGACTATACCCCGTGCGTGCGTGCATCCGCTCGGGCTTTAAATAAACAATTTTCGCGCTAACAGCCTGGCCGATGCCTATTACCTACGCATGCCTCCCGCGGCGCCTGTGTACGCAGCACCGCTTATACAGGGTGTTCGAGAACCAGCGCCGCTTCTGCGATTTAAGAAATTTTCGATTATCGCGAAATAGGATCTTTCGTGAAAATTTAAGCGGACAATACCTTTCTCACACAAGTTTTGCATTTTTTACATCAAGACGCGGAAAGATTTCTCCGCGTGAAATTAATAACATTTTTTTCGACCAATTATAAACTTAGATCACGTTTGCATATTTGTTGAAGAAAATCTCAATCATAGATCTTTCGCAGATAGAAGGCAGCGGTACCGGGACACCCGTTAGCTACACGCAACCCCTACTGCTCGCGTGTGTCACGGGCACGCGCGCGTATGGCATATATACGTACTTATACATATATGCATATACACATATATATATATAAATATATATACATATATATACACACATATATATACGCCACGGTGAAGTTAGGTGCACGCCGCTGGATTTTCCAGGGTTTTCCCAGGGTTGCGGTAGAGCGTTGAACCGGGTGGAGGGTGGGCGACGTGTAAGGGTGGAAGGGAGAGCAGCAGCGAGCGAGCGCATGGTGGTGGCTGAGGCGGGCGACGGGAGGCGGCGGTGGATGAGGAGGTGGAGGCAGTGCTGGGGTAGGGGGTAAAGAGAGAGCGAGATGGACAGACGGACGGAGTGAGAGAGGGAGTGCGCGGCGAGGGAGGGAGAAACTATAATGAGTGGTGCGCACGAGGGAGAGCGGGATAAAAAGGGGGATAGGGGGTGGCAGCGTTGGCGAGGAGGGCGGCTGGGCGGAACGGGGGAAAAAGCAGGGTTGGTACAGGGGTAAAAAGGTTGGAAGCTGTGGCAACTGCCGCGGTGGTGGCGGCGGAGAGAAAGGGAGGGATTCTGCTCGCTGCGGACGGCGGAGGAGGGGGCGGGGTGGCGAGGGGGGATGGATCGAGCACGACGGGT